CCACGGCGTGAATGTCCACTAATCAAGTGATGACAAGTGTCTCTGGTCCCGGAGAAGTGCGGCCTTTTAATTTCAAGAAAACACAGAAACTAGCAGAACGACACAGACGGTTCGAGCGCATACTCTTTCTCAAGTGACGGGGCCCGAGAAGCAGAGCAATGGGGACAACAAGTGGGCGACAGGAAGCAGAGCCGGTAATTGGATTGCAAAAAAAAAAAAAAAGGAAAGGAAAAAAGTGTCGTTTATTACTCTCTGTAACGCCGAATTGGAGCGAGCAAGGGAGGAGGAGGAGGGAAGTGTATTGAGGGGAGGGTATACCCGCCCTCCTCATCCCGTCTGCTATTCCTCTGTCCTAGCTGCGCCGCCGTCGCCTCATGAGGGTCACGTGACCTCACAGGGGTCATGTGACCTCAGAGGGGTCATGTGACGTCACCGGGATCACGTGACCCCTGTGAGGTCACGTGACGATGACGTCATTACGATGACGTCATCAGTGACATCACGTGTGACGTCATCGTCGCTGATGATGTCATCAGTGACGTCATCATCACTGGTGACGTCACTGATGATGTCATCAGGGACGATGCAAATGCCGATGACGCCATCAGCATACTAGGGTGGTAACTCAATTACTGTAATTGAATTACTGTAATTTAATTACTTTCCTTTGTAATTGTAAGTAATTACTTTTGGCTACAAGGAATTGTAATAGTAATTACTTTCTAGGGTCAGTAATTGCAAAATTCCAGGTAGAATTACCATTCATTTTGCAAGACTGCGCCGCCGACGGAACATCTCTGAAAGCCTCAGCGCTCGCGCAAGCGGCCTAGCTCTCGGTGAAACACTACACACTGTGGGAATTTCCCCTTTGGGGTTACCACTTAGAAACACAGAGCGTTCTTTGGGTCCGGATAAAGACGTGTTTATTGACTGAAATGCCAACACGCTTCGCTCTTAGGCAATGAAAAGTCTGGGCGCTGGCTCAATTGCCAGTATCACCCGGTCGGTTTCCCGCGCTGCCGCATTAGACAGATTCACGGGAAGTCGGAGGCCCACAAAGAAAAACCGAGCTCCGTAGAGCTAGGGCCTCCGCCGACGAGAGCCCCTGGCCCACCTTCGGGGCCAGCTTATGTAGCCTCGGAGAATGGACGCGCCCGGGGAGGCCACTAGCAGTCGCGTCCATTATAACTCTCAAGGGTGTGCCGAAGGCGCGTTCACCCAAATGGGCAAGGGAGAGCCGGCCCCTTCGGGGAATTCGGCCTCGTGGTTCCTTGTATCCGGGAGGCCGACGCCATTGGTGACGACGGCTCCCACGGCCTGCTCGAAGCTAGGCCTGGATAGGGATAGAGGGAACCCCATGGTTCCCACAACACAGACACAAACACGCACAACATAAATAGCGTCGCATTGTTTGTTGTTTTGTTGCTTACACTGCGGTCTGAGACACAATTCTCTTTGGAGTCTACCTCCACAGCACCGTGTAGTGCGTCTGCGGTGCGAGAAGAAAACTAGAGCCTAAACATGCCAAAATATTGAAAGAACAAAAATTGAGCTTGAGCTTTGAGCCGAGGTCGGGAATTTTAAATGTCTCTGAAGTTACTTTTGCTTCTTTTTTTTTTCCAGTTTTTTACGTCCCCCTTCCAGTATTGTCACGGGTAGCGGATATTTCATCGAACGCCGTTTCATCGAACGCCGTTCCATCGAATGAATGGACATTTCATCGAACGCCATTTCATCGAACGCCGTTTCATCGAATCGCTAAGGGCCGTTTCATCGAATTTCTCTGTTTTGAGTTTTGGGGCATAACAGTGCTTTATAGATGTTTTACCTTACATTTGTTAGGACTAAGATAGTCACTTGTGAAACTGTGTTTAAGGTGGAGTCAAATTACTAGAAATAAAAACCATTGGTATAAAAAGAAATAAAAACAAATGGGTATGCGACTTACTGAAAAGTTTGACTCGTGTACACGACAGAAAACATGAAACTGGAGGTAAAGGACCGACACTTCAAACATTTTTAAGTGTCTGTGTCGTTTTTTTTACCGCCAGTCTGGGGGTTTCAGTAATGTGCAATTCACACCAGCTCGTTCGCACATTTTCGTTTAGTTGAAGGTTTATTCACGGAGAGCATATAACTGCCAGGGCAGCACGCTTATAACATAACGATACTCTGCTAGAATAGCACACAAAATAAAACATAACGTTACTCTGATTATCAGCTTTATGTTCAAATTAAACGTTTCTGCTTTTTTTTTTTTTTTAGTTTTCAAACTTTACAGAGACAAAAGCTGCACATAGTTTCAGCCAACATTGTTCTGGTCTACATAACGAAAACGAAAACGAAATTTTCGTAAGTTTTGCGCAAGTTACGACGAAATCCTACGACAGCTCCGAAGCTGTCTTACCACTTACGATCAAATCAGCATGGCCGACAGCGTCGCGGTCGCGACGACCCACGGACGTTTATTTTTCTACGTGCGCTTTTCACGCGTCCCGACTTCAAGCAGCAAGAAAAAAGTAAAAAAATACTTGAAACAGACCACGACGAACAAGAACGCTGGATCCAGAAATACCCGGGAAAAGCTCCGACGGCCACGATTCCACCGAACGCGACCAAGCGATCACGGCAGTTAAGCCTAGCAGGCACTCCGCGGCTCGGCGACCGTCTGCCCACGACCGGCTGGTGTGCTGAATGGAATATGCCCGCGCGACTTTTGTGAACCCTTCCCGTATTATACTTTGATCGCTGACCTCAGTTTTAGATTAAGAGGTCAATTTTTCCCTCTTGTTATCTCCTTGTTTCCCGAGGCAACGGTGACTCTCGCCGGTGAAAAAGCGGTGAATCTGCGCCAGACGCAGAAAAGGTAAAGCAGCCATCGCTTTGACTAGCAGACTTAGAGCACTGCGCCAACCCGCCGACGCCGTTGAAGAATGAGGGGTCTCGCCGCACACGAAAGAAGGAAAAAAGTATTTGGGAGGGAACTTGCGGACACTAACACGCTCACTCTCGGTTCTTAGCAAACAAACCTCGGCGCCTCGGGACACCTCGCCAGTGAGTCCTTTGACTTCCCTCCTTGATGCGAAAAACAACGTACCGCTCGAGTAATTTGGTCTGCCCTCTCTGAAAGGCGAAGTCGAGCTCGCTCGTAAAGAGCTGCACTTCCGAAAGTCGCAAGGAAGGTAAGAGAGACGCAGACGATGTTGCGAGCAGACGTCGTTGCAAAGGAGCAGACGACGCTGAGGTAGTTGGTCGCGATCAGCCAATCAGGGCTCGGCGTTCTGACGGCACCGCTACTTCCTTTCTCATGCGCAGAAGACGAAAATGAGCCCACTTGCGAGGCGTATACCGTCTGCCCGCGACCGGCTGGCGTGCTGTCCGCGCGACCCTTGTGGACCCTTCCCGTATTATACTTTGATCGCTGACCTCAATTTTAGATTAAGAGGTCAATCTCTTCCTCTTGTCATCTTCTTGTTTTCCGAAGCAGCGGTGACTCTCGCCGGTGAAAAAGCGGTGAATCTCCGACAGACGCAGGAAAGGTAAAGCAGCCATCGCTTTGACTAGCAGACGTAAAGCAGACGACGTTAACTGCGCCAACCCGCCGACGCCGTTAAAGAGTGAGTAGTCTCGCCGCGCACGAAAGAAGGGAAAAGTATTTGGGAGGGAACTTGCGGATGCTCCACTCTCGGTTCTTAGCAAACAAACCTCGGCGCCTCGGGACACCTCGCCAGTGAGTCCTTTGACTTCCCTCCTTGATGCGCGTCTGGTAGTTGTTAGACAAAAACAACGTACCGCTCTAGTTATTTCGTCTGCTCTCTCTGAAAGGCGAAGTCGAGCTCGCTCATAAAGACCTGCACTTCCGAAAGTGCCAGGAAAGGTAAGACAGACGCAGACGACGTTGCGAGCAGACGACGTTGCAAAGGAGCAGACGACGCTCAGGTAGGGGGTCACGATCAGCCAATCAGGGCTCGGCATTCTGACGTCACCGCTACTTCCTTTCTCATGCGCAGAAGACGAAAATGAGCCCACTTGCGAGGCGTATATATTTCTGAACCATTATAATTTCAACTCAATGTAAATAATTTACAATACCATGACGTTTGTGTGTGAATGTGGTCGTATTAGCGCGTGCGGATTTTACTTTTATATAAACACTTGTAAAATATTCCTGTATGACTAATTGTCACATTTTTATTTGCCTGGATAACCAAAGTCTGTCAATCCAATTTCTTCTTTAACGATCTGGCGTCTTGAGCATATCAACTAATTTATTATTATTTATTAAAAATATAAGAACGTAGTACTTCATTTCGCCACACTGTCAAGTTCCATCATGAATTTAACAAAAATTATAAAAAGAAAGTACAATACGGAAACGTTGGAGTAAAGTATAAACAAATACGTTGCATTCTATACAACTCGTTTAAAGTCATATGGCCCA